CCCGGCAACTCTCCGCAGCGCCGGTGTCCAATTACGCAAGGCACCCCTCCATCTATCGCGACACGGGCCCGCGCCACGAGGGGACGGTGACGCCGGGGCAACCGGGGGATCTCGGGGGCCCCTCTGGGAGCCGGCGGCCGCCAGGTGCACCCGTCGCCGATGCCCCTCGAAGGCACCGCCGAGGCCGCGCTTACCGTCCGTGCCCTGGGCCCGAGGTCGGCGGCGGGGTGCTTCGGCCCGAGCCGCTCCCGGGTCCCCTCACGGCCCCTCACGGTCCCCGCCCGCCTCCACGTCGCCGGCGCGGCCCCGCTGCGCATGCGCGAGGCCCGCGCTGTTTTGCTGGCGGGGCACCACGGGAGTTGTAGTTCTTGAGGGGCGAGGCGGCCATGACACCTCGCGCGGCCTGGGCTGATCCCAGCGTGGGCAGCAGGGCAGGGGGATCCTGCCCCTGTGCCCTGGGCTCAGGTGAGACCCCACCTGCAGAGCTGCCCCAGCCCTGGCTCCAGCAGCACAAGGACGTGGAGCTGCTGCAGCCAGTGCAGAGGTGTCCCTGGCCATGGCAGGGGGTGGGGCTGGAGGAGGTTTAAGGTCCCTTCCAACCCAAACTATTCTGGGATTCATTCTGATTCTCTACTCTGCTTCCCACATTTTCAGTGGGACATGAGGTAAGCCCAGCAAATGGGACCAACAGTGAATGTCTGAGGGTGGGAGGATTTACCAGGCCCTGTCCTGCCCTTGTGCTGCTTTAAATCATCGTTTCTCCAAGGATAACCCCTAGAGTGGGGCGTGTGCCATCAGCAGCAGGTTTCACAGTACCCGTGGGTTCATGGAGAGGGAAACCTTTCCCAGTGCAGAGGAGGCACGGAGATGCTGCCAGGGCTGGAGCCCCTCTGCTCTGGAGCCAGCCTGGCACAGCTGGGGCTGCTCCCCTGCACAAGAGGAGGCTCCTGAGTTTATTGCCACATTCCACTTGGTGTGTGACAGCAAATCCCCGGCCGGGCTGTCACCCATGCCTGTCCCTGGGCTGTGCGTGCCAAGAGCAGCTCTGCAAACAGCAGCACTGGGTGTAACCCTGGGCAAACACTGCCACGTTGAGCTCAGCACCGCGGCTGGGAAACACCCTCTGCCAAAATGCAAAGGTTCTGTGGAGCAATCCCCATGCCAGAAACAAGCACTGCTGAAGAAAACGAGGCAAGGAGCCCTGCTGCTTTTGAAGGCCTTTATTCAGTGAGCAGCTCTGGGTGGGGGCCCGAGGGGTTGAGCACACCATCACTGCTCCCTTTGGTGATGCACAGGAGGAGATGGACAGCTTTGCTTCACAGCAGAACTGGGGAATCCGTCCTCACAGCCATGCCTAGGAAAACAATTTCTGGCTCATCACCTAGAGTCCTCATTCTGACCAAGTTCTAGTAGGTCATGGTGACATCTGAAACCTTGTTGGTGGGGTAGGAGGACTTTGCTAGTAGGACCCTTTACTTAGTTCCTTAAATCTTTGGTTAGTTCCTTGTTTTAAGGGTCTTTTGTTGGATCTTTTTGAGTGTTTCTTAATTTGCATGTTTCCCAGGGATGTTTCCCAGCACCATTTTGGGGAGCAGCAGAGGCAGTACCCAACAATGTATTGGTAAGGTAAGGGGATTAACAATAAGGGTAACTTAAAGGTCTAACATTTAACAACAATTTAATTAACACAATTAACTTTTTGTAATTCATATTAACAGCTCCAATTGTGTTAACTCATAAACTTGTATTAACTCATAAACTTGTATTAACTCATAAACTTGTTCATAACATGGCTATGCCTATAAACACTTCCATTCACAACGTGTCAGTTTATGTTTCACTGTCATCCCAGGCCAGGCTGGAAGGGCCCAGAGCAACCAGGGATAGTGGAAGGTGTCCCTGCCCATGGCAGAGGCTGTGACAGAATGGGATTTAAGGCCCCATCCAACCCAAACCATTCAGTGATTTTAAAACAACAATGAAATAAAGATACAGCACTATTATCTAAAACAATTTCCAATGCAAAAGAATCACCATGGCAAACGTGGCCTTCTAGAGCTTTTCAGTTAAATTACAGCAGCCAGGTTCACTGAAAACAAGAATTATGGCAGCCTGTTACAACCAAAATATGATTTGGTTCAGCAAGCACTGCTCTAACAATCAGAAAACTGCACTCTCAGGTCTTAGGCAGTTTAATGAAACAGTTATTTCTCACTGAAGGAGATTTTAGTTAACCTGAGTGTAAATTAAATTTCTTTTCATTTCCTTCCCCTGCAACCTCTGCAGCCAGTGTTCTTTCAGCAATAATGTTCTTCATCATACAGAAATCATGAAGGAATTACCCTGGGGACTGAACCTCAGCAGCTCCCAGAATTCAGCTGGGACATGATTGCTCCATCTGGGCAGTAACAGCATAATGTGTTACTGTCATTAGACCAAAATTTAACTTTATTTTCAGTTTAGACATTCTTAGCAGCTGATCATGTGCAGTTTAACATGACAGAATTTCCTTTCCTGTCTGGATCAGACCATCAAAATAATCAGCAACATAAAATTAATTAATTTAAGAATTTTTTGCATACACTTGCATTTTTTGAAATGTGTTTTTCAACTAACTTCTTGGCATCCAGCAATTTGTGCAAACCAACACACAGAAGGTATCACTTCTCATTAAGAAAAAATACTTGAAATTAGTTGACTTGAATGATGTGGGTTTTTTTAAATATTGATTTGTTGATCTTTCCTCAATAGTATTTAAATAAAGCCAGACAGGTTTAATGCTGAAGAAATTAGGAGCAGATTTGCAGTACTTTGGTCCCCTAAAGATGCAAACTCTGAAATTTTCTAAAAGTCTTCAGTGCAAATGAAGCTGCTACTTGGTAGATGTCCACATGCCACCATCAGGTAAAACCTTTTGTAAATCTTGGTTTTGGCAAGTGACAAGCACATGGGAATTTTCTCAGTTAAATTCAACTCACTTGATCAATATTATTCCGTCACATGAGGATATCCTTAATTTCTGCCTGCTTGTTTTTCTTAAAGAAGGCTTTGTGCACTCCTTTGCGTCCCAGCAGATGATCTCATGCACTCTGGCCCAGACTTGGGCCTTTGCTTTCACTCGATTTTTATTTAACTATTCACAACACAACAGGATTATTGACCTATTCTTGAAAAAGAATAGAGTCAGAAGAGTTATAACACAAATCTCCTGACAGGACTTCCAGTGAAGTGCCTCATACAGAAAGTTTTGTGATGTAGATTGCTCCCTTTAGGGTTTAACTGCAGCTAATAAAACCAGTGGAACACGATTCCAGAGACCATAAATGTGTAATCTTACTTGCATTATCTGCATGTTTTCGTTTTTGCAGATTTTTCATAAGGCCTGGTGTTTAAATATGGTGCTGGCACACAGCTGGAAGCCTGGTGCAGCCTGCAGCATAATTTACTATACACTTTGGTTTTTGTGTTATTGTTCAATGCATTTTCTTCTGTAATAATATCCTAAATAACTAAAAAAAATGAATTATGCAGACTTCATAAATTGACTGAATGCATTACCAAATTAAAGGAGCCCCAGTACAGTTCTTACTCTACTTTTTACTGTGTTCCCAGCTGTTTAGAGGTGGATATACTCTAAAACTATGGCCTGTTTATGAAATGCCCAGCATATTAAAACAGCATGGAAGGGACCATCTCTTCAGCAGCGCTCAGGATGACAGAACACGTATTCTTGTTTAGCTGAAGAGCTGCAGATTGGGCTGGGCATGACTGAGGCACCTCCAGTGCTGGGACAAGAGAGACACTGAGGGGCTGGAGCGTGTCCAGGGCAGGGAACGGGGCTGGGAAGGGGCTGGAGCCCCAGGAGAGGCTGAGGGAGCTGGGAAGGGGCTGAGCCTGGAGCAAAGGAGGCTCAGGGGGGACCTTGTGGCTCTGCACAGCTCCTGCCAGGAGGGGACAGCCGGGGGGTCGGGCTGTGCTCCAGGGAACAGGGACAGGAGGAGAGGGAACGGCCTCAGGCTGGGCCAGGGCAGGCTCAGGGTGGACATCAGCAGGAATTTCCCCATAGAAAGGGTGCTCGGGAATTGGAAGGGTCTGCCCAGAGAGGTTTTAAGAGTTCCCATCCCTGGAGGTATCCAAGGAATGATTGGACATGGCACTCAGTGCTCTGGGCTGGTGACAAGTTGGGGATCAGTCACAGCTTGGACTTGGTGGTCTTTTCCAACCTAAAGATCCTGGGATTCACTGATCTAGGAGGAAGCTGCAATACACTGATCCAGTAGGGGGTTATGTTCCAAAGACGAGGCAAGAGCTCATTAAACAGCAATTCCAGACTCAGGTCCCAACAGAGTTAGCTCCTTAAGGAAGAGCAAAGAGCATTAACCAAGGTCTGACAGGGAGCTGTCTGTGCCTGAGCTCGCTGCAAAGCCATGGCTGTGGCTGCAGGGGCACACCTGTGCACGCTGCAGATGAATCCACACCAGGACTGACCAAACTGGCAGGACATGAGGCACCTCACCAGGGACACCAGGCAAAATCAGATACCAGTCATTAATTAACTGCTGAGAGAAATCACAGCCACAAGAATAACACGGGACCACAGTGACAGTTCAGGGACTGCATAGTGCATTTTTAGGCCTGCCTGAGGGAAGATTTTAGGGAAATTAAATCATAAAGAACAATCCAAAACTGCTGGAATGGTTTTGTTTTGAATCTTTTTCAAGGTCTGGTTTGGCAGACAGGAAAAAGCAGGAATTACCACTTTTATTCCTTACTAAGCACAGGGACACCTAAAACCCTTCACAGTTGGGATGTAAGTGAGCAGCAGAATCCATCTGCCCAGGAAGAAGCAAAGTTTGCCCAGTTCACTTTATCATCAACTCAGTTATTTTAGAACCTCCTTCTGCCTGGGGCCTGTCTCCAGGTTTTCACAGGTTTTGTTACACTGGGACTGTTTATACACTGAACACTAGGAATTCTGTGTAATAATTGCATGAAGTGACTTATTTTTAAGTAAAATCTCAGTTTATTATAATGAAAATTCCACAAGCAAGAGGTTTTAGTTGGATGCTCGGTTTTTTTTTTTTTAAAGCCAGAACTGTGCCATTATAAATCACTACAACAGAACATAAAGCAACATTCTCTTGCATCATGCCTCAGGAAAAAAAAAAAAGGCATAATATTTCAAGAAAAATAATTAAGGGAAGTATCACATCAAGATTTTCTGCTTTTAGTAAGCTAAATGAATTTTGTATGTAGCACAACTCCTCTAGCTCACCCATAGACTTGACATGAAAAAATCTAAACTCTTCATAGATAAATTATGAGCTTTTTTTTGTCACAATGCAGTAAACAGTTCTTCATCAAGAACAGATAAAGCCTTTAAGGTGAAAGCCTCAAGTACTGCACTAGCACTTAGTGACAACAAGATGCTAAGATACATTTACCTTCCACAGACAATTTATTCTTACATTGTTTAACCTAAACTCTAATCACACCAAACAGATGGCAGATGAAAAGTAGTTCCAGCAAGAAAAATACAAGAACATCAGCTTTCAAATATTTTAAATAAACAATGCGCCAGCTGCCATTTTAGTGGCAAAAGAGACTCTCCTGCAAGCAATTAAGTTTTTTATTCAGCTAAAATGTGCAGAGAAGAAAAGTCTCAAATTGAGAGGAATATCAGCAGTTCATAATGGACATGAGGGATTAAAATCCTTAGGAATGAACTCCTTCAAGCCGTTTTCTTGTCATATACTGCAGTGGATCTCTTTGCAGCACTTCCATTTGCAATGCCATTGCTTTCCAACTGCAAATAAAAAACAGTGTCATCAATGAGATGTCAAATTAGAACTTCACATCTAAATCAGGAACAGCTGGTGACAAAAATGGCTCTTAGAAGCAAGGCCAGTAAAGATCTATGAAGAAATATGGGGCAAGAACCAAAAGTGGTGGTGTCTGTGTAGATTTACAAATAATTACTGCTTCAGGGGGAAGAGAAGAATGAGGGCAGCAGCAACATTTACAAGTCTTTGCATTGTGATAGAAGATAAATGATAAAAGCATAATTTATATGCACTGAGCATCCTCCCCCATTACAAGTGGCAGAGCTGGCTGAAGAGAGGGGCTGTTTTTAATTTCTGCTTCGTGCATCTGTTGTGACTTTTTTCCCCTCTGAAAGAACAGCCAGTTTTAAAAAAATAATAATTAATTAAGCTGTTTCAGGATACGGGCACAATTCCTCTTCCTCCAAGACTAGAAGAAGCAGCTATTATACTAACTATGCCTTGAAGCACCAATTCCTAGCTGGCGCAGTAGTGATAATTGTTGTTTCTAAGAAAGCAGCCACCAAAATATCTGCAAACACACCCAGCCGTTCACCCTCCTGAGCCACCACTGGGTGGCTCACCCCGGAGCTCAGCTGGGTGAGTTGATCTTACTTCAAGGCTTGCAGATCCATCCTCCTGGCCTGCCCTGGCAGGTCCCCGAGGGTCCCCAGTGCTGCCTCCTGGCCCCTGCTTGGTGCCTGGGGGCTCCTGCACGGCCCTCTTGGGCCAGAAGCGCTTGATGAAGGGGGCAATCATGGGGTAGATGTAGGGCTCCACAAACTTCTTGTAGACCCAGAGCAGAACAGGGATCACGATGCAGGGAATGCACACCATGGCTGCCTCCTGTGCTGGGACACAGATGGTGAGGGGGGAAAAAACAGGTTAAGGTAGCAGCGTTTGTATGCCACCAGCTGACAAAACAGTATCTACATAGTAAATAAAAAACATATTTCATGTTCAAACGTATACTATTCTTTAATTATAAAGTAGCTGCTAAGGTTTCAAAAATACTGTGTGCTCCCATGTTATAAACAAAGGGACATTCTTGCCATTTTAACCAAAAAAACCCCCCAATTTGCTATTAATTCATCAATCCTACAGATGCAACTAAATAAAACAAGTTCAGGAAATAAGAGTTTTTGCCTAAACCACACAAAAACAGTTTAAGCAGCAAGCTGCCAGTATCAGCCCAGTTCCCACTATGAGTACAAAGGGTTTGTTTTGCTCAATCCAGTTTTATTTAAGGAGAAACTAAAACAGCAGACAGCCAATCCATCCAATGGGCTGCTACCACTGAAGGGCAGGATAGTGGGAAAGGAGAAAAAATTCCAATCAGGATTTGAGAGAATTTGCATATGGGTTACTTTCTTCCTGCTGCCCTCACTTGATCCCACACCAACCCAATACAATTAACTGTTAGAAAATGAACCATGCCCTCTCTCTGAAAACCCACAAGTCTTCAAAAATTTGCATCCTGGAGTCTATGCTAAAAAAAACCAAAAACAAACCAAAACCAAAACCAAACAAAAAAAAAAAACCAAAAAAACCCCCAAACAAACAAAAAAACCCAAAAACAAACAACAAAAAACCCACAAAAAACCCAAACCAAACCGAAAAAAAATAAAAAACCCCAACAAAACAAAACAAACAAAAAAACCCCAAAAAACAACAACAACAACAACAACAACACGAAAAAAAAATAAAAAACCCCAACAAAACAAAACAAACAAAAAAAACCCCCAAAAAACAACAACAACAACAACAACCAAAAAAACCCCAAAAAAAAAACCAAAAAAAAACCCACACACACCAAAAAAAACCAAAACCAATACAAGGCAGAAAAGCAAAGCAAGGAGGCAGAGAGGTCCAGCTGGGAGAGGAAGCAGTTAATCAGGGCTGGACCTGTCCCTGCCAGTGCTGACAGCAATATATTAGACACACTCTGCTGCCACACAACTCTGCCCTTCACAGTCCCCCTCTCTAGGCTGCTGACATCTCAATTCTCACACCAAGAAGCAAAACAAAAGCTTTCCAAGGTGGAGGATGAAGAGGCAGGTGTGCACACCTCGCCAGGGACCAGTTTTGCTTTTTATTTTATGTTATCCTGAAGACTCCTAGCCCTGTGGAAAAGCAGAATATCAGTTTCCAGGTGACTGCTACCAGGTTCTGTTCTGGCTGCTTCAAATACAGTTTAAATCCACTCTCTGGAGTCTGAGAGGAATGTGACATTGAGCAACACAAATGAGGTAACCCTTTAAACTTATTAAAGAAATGTATTTTAGATACTGTCTCCACCAGAACTTCCTAAATGTTGAGTTTCCAGCAAAATGTGCATTCATCCAGCAGCTGAAGAACGTGGCTGGAGGGAACACCTCAGGCTACAGAATCGTTACAGAATTATGCAATTATTGGGTCAGGAGAGAACCTCAAAATAATTTCCTTCTATTCCCTGCCATGGGCAGGGACACCTTTCACTAAACCTCCCAGCCCCGTCCAGCCTGGCCTTGGGCACTGCCAGGGATCCAGGGGCAGCCACAGCTGCTCTGGGCACCCTGGGCCAGGGCCTGCCCACCCTCCCAGCCACCAATTCCTGCCCAACATCCCAAAATGTGTGCCTGCCCTGTGGCAGTGCAGCCATGGCCTGTGTGCTGTCCCTGGCAATCAGCACGTGTTGTGCTGTCCCCGTGTCTCGATCCTGCCCAAAAACCATCGGTACCTGCGCCCGCTGCACCGGCGGTCCCGGGGGTCAGCGGAGCTCCGTCCTGCCCGGCCCCGCCGGTGGCCCGGTGATGCTCGGCCAGCTGCCTGGCGAGGGAAACAAAGAGAAGAGGAGGAGAGGGGTGAGGAGTGCCCGGGCAGGGGTGTCGGGGAGCCCCGGCCGACGGGCAAAGCACGGCACGGCTCGGCACGGCCTTGTTCCCAGCCCCCGCCAAACGCCACAAGGGCAAACCCGCCGCGTTTCCCCCGTTCCCCATAAAGGGGAAAACAGGAGGCCGCCTCATGTCCGGCTGCCCCGTGTCCGGCGCTGCCGTTCCGCCCTGCGGGGCCGCTTTGGGCCGGTGCAGACCGTGAGGCCCCGGCTACCGGCGTGGCCAGGCAGGCCTGGCCGTGCGGAGCGGGGCGGAGAGCGGGGCGGAGAGCGGGGCACTCACCGGGGCGAGGCGGGATGAGGGGCAGGGATCGTTCCCGGCTCCCGGCGCTCCGCACTCACCGGCGCCCGCACCGGAACGGGCCCGCGCTTCCGGGGCGGCGCTTCCGGCCAATGGCAGGCGGCAGCGCGCGTCACGTGGCACGCCAGGCCCCGCCCCACCCGCGCGGACGGGAACAGGGATCGTTCCCGATATTCCCGGATTTGGGAGTGGGAGGGAATTGTGGGATGGCCCGGCTGGAGGGCCGATATCGGGCAGGAATTGGTGGCTGGGAGGGTGGGCAGGCCCTGGCCCAGGGTGCCCAGAGCAGCTGTGGCTGCCCCTGGATCCCTGGCAGTGCCCAAGGCCAGGCTGGACGGGGCTTGGAGCAGCCTGGGACAGTGGAAGGTGTCCCTGCCCTTGGCATGAGTGGAACAAGGTGGGCTTTGAGGTCCCCTCCCAGCCAAACCACTCCATGATTCTGTCACATTCACTGCCCCTGTCCCACAGCGCCAGGACAGAACAACACAATCACAATCAGTCCAGACTTTAAAATTTTATTTATATACATCTGTCCATGCAGATTTATTCCCGAGCCATTAGCTTTTGTTTCTTCAGCTTCTTCTGGGAGATCTGGGAAGCAAACACACACACACAAAAAAAAAGGAAACAGTGAAGTGAGACTTCCCGAAACATCCCAAAGTTATCTTTTACATAAGCTACAAACTGTTAGGAATTTACTCAAAATGATACTCACTTCACCTACACATAAACAATAATCCCTATACAAGCACTACATTGCTTGTAGGGTCTAAATTCAACTTATTTTATTGTACAAACCCAGGGAATGTCTGGGAATGCTGCAGCTGCTTTGAGGGGGAAAGAACCAATGCTCTGTGCAATTTAAAAATGGTTCTCAGGGCTTTTAAGTGCTTAATACTTGTGCTGAAAATTTAAAAACGGGGTTGCTCAGAAAGAACTAATTTTTTTCATGGGCATTCCAAAGGTGTCCTAAGAGAGTCATCACAGCAACCCCTCTCTCTGCCAGAGCCTTGGGGAGTGTTAAAGGGACAGAGCACATGACACCAGGTACCTTTTTCTTCTGGGCAACTTCCTCCTCTGGCTTGGGCACGATCTGCTCCTTCTCGGTGAGGATCATCTCGATGTGGCACGGGGAGCTCATGTAGGGGTTGATCCTGCCGTGGGCCCGGTACGTGCGCCGGCGCATCTTGGGAGCCTTGTTCACCTGGATGTGCTCGATCACCAGGGAGTCCACGTCGAGACCCTGCCAAGGAGGAAACCCGTCAGCCACCTCCACCTTCAAATAATTCACTTCCGCAGCAAGAACGTGAGTGATTGCCCCAGACACTGCTGCTGGTGAGTAAAACAGCCAGGCTTGGTGGTGCCATGGAGCTCAGGGTTTTCCAAGGATCTGACAATAAAACAGCTGAGCTTGGTGGTGCCACAGAGCTCAGGGTTTTCCAAGGATCTGACAATAAAACAGCTGAGCTTGGTGGTGCCACAGAGCTCAGGGTTTTCCAAGGATTCCCCACTGACACAGCCAAGCTTGGTTGTGCTATGGAGCTGAGCATTTTCCAAGGATTCAGCACTGACACAGCCAGGCTTGGAGGTGCCATGGAGCTCAGAGTTTTCCAAGGATCTGACAATAAAACAGCTGAGCTTGGTGGTGCCACAGAGCTCAGGGTTTTCCAAGGATTCACCACGGGCACAGCCAGGCCTGGAGGTGCCATGGAGCTCAGGGTTTTCCAAGGATCTGACAATAGAACAGCTGAGCTTGGCACTCTCTTGGAAATGAGGACTTACCAAAGCAAGCGTCATTTAAAATGACCAAGATCAGCCCCCACACATCACAAATAATTTACAATTGTGCTGATGGCTCACTGTGGTTATTTCATGGTTACTCAAACACTGCCAACAAAGCTACCAAGGGTTACTCAAAGGTGCCACCTATTACTCAAACACTGCCAACAAAGCTACCAAATTCAGCACTGTAACAAAGACCAGGTCTGACCAAGAGTCTGCAGATTTCGATTTCACAGATTTTGAGGTATCTCAACTGCCCTTTTGTGTGAAAATTATACCCAGGGAGGAGTGCTGACAGAGAGCATGACACCACTGCTTTGTGCTCAGCAACACCCACCTTGAGCTCAGCGTTGCTCTCTGCATTCTTCAGCATGTGCAGCAAGAACTCTGCGCTCTTCTTGGGCCAGCGGCCCTGCGTCCAGCCCCACTGCTTGGCCTGGAATGAGGGGAAACAGTGGGAGTCCTGCTTCTGGCCTGGTCCATTCCAGTTACCCTCTACACACCTTTAACTTGCCTTTCTCACAGAATGGTTTGGGCTGGAGGTGGCTGCAGCAGCTCCACGTCCTTTCTGTGCTGAGGACCCTGTATCTTATGGATTATGGTATGTTCTATTCTGCTGTACACCAAACCCCACAAAATTTAATCCCCTGACTTGATGCTGCTGACTAGAAGCAGACACTCCATATAGAAGCATCTCCTGGAATTAACAGCCCCTCTTTCCTCCCTCTTGAGCAGCCTGGTCTGGTGGAAGATGTCCCTGCCCACGGCAGGGGACTGGAGTGAGATGAGCTCTGGGGTCCCTTTCCAACCCAAACCGCTTTGTGACCCTGTGTTTTGATGCCAGTTCACCCCCAGCAATGACACCCACACCACCCCTGCATCACCTTTTTGCCCTCGGCACCCACAGCCAAAGGCTCCCTGTGTTTCCCAGGGCTCACCTGGGCGCACCTGCCGACGCCGCCGTTGTAGCGCCGGAAGGGGACACACTGCTTCTTGAGGGTGACATCCTTCAGGTACTTGGTGGCCTTGCGGATGTGCATGCCCTTGATGGCCTGCGCCGTCTCTCGGGTGTTCTGTGACACGGGGCACACAAAAATGCCCTGATCAAACCCTTCCTGAGCACCAGCCCAGCCACCCCTCTGTGCTCCCCGGGTACGATTCCTTTGGCTACAAAGGACGCACTTACTGAAGAATACCCAAGTCTAAGAATGAATAATAATTAACACTCTTTTTCTTTGTTACCACTTTTCCAACCTCTGGTATGCTGCCACTACTGAATTTGTGTCTCTGGCACATTTTTCTCTTTTTTTTTTCAACTCCGTGGCTAAATTTCCAACAAAGAAATTTGCAACTCTTAATAAAACTGTAGTTTAAGTACTTATATATTTCACAGCTTCTCTTTGGCCACTGATCTAAAAAGGCAAGACCCAGATGGATAAATTCTTACTAAAATCTCAAATACAGCACCTCACAGGAACTGATGAAACAGAAAAACTGATGTTACAGAAACACTGTAACAATTGTTAACAACGCTGTTTCCTCCAAAAGAATTGTAAGAGAAGGAAAGTCTCAGAAACAAAAACTAAAGAAAAATATCAGTGTTCTACAGGGCATTTACTAATTGTGTAAGCCAGCTCTAACTATAATCCTACCTGTTCAAAATAAAAAAAAAAAGAAGAAAACCAGAGTAAAAGCTTTGTATTACACTAAGCAGTAAATAATCTGCTAAGTTCTGGTTTCATGATTAAATAACATTTCTGAATTGTTCTCTGCACCTAAGCCTTCCCAGAGGAACTGAGGTCGTTGTGCCAAACACTGCACACTCAAAAAGAGCAGGAGAAACTGGAGAAATTTCACACCAAACAACAGCCCAGTGTCTGATAAATTTAATCCAACTGTTTTGCTGCTGTATTTTGTTATCTGAATCAGACAAGGACAGTTTTTAATTTTTTTTTTTGTGGATGGAGACCATTACAAGGAGCTTTGGTGATTAAAGAGAAAAAAAACCACTTCCCTAAAAAGAGGGAAGAAATTTACTGGGAATAAATTCCTGGCTGTGAGGGCGAGGAGGCCCTGGCACAGGGTGCCCAGAGCAGCTGCAGCTGCCCCTGGATCCCCGGAAGTTTCCAGGGCCACGCCGGATGGGATCTTAGCCCCTAACCACGGCAGAGGGTGGAAAGAGATTATCCTCACAATCCCTTTCAACCCCAGCCAGTCTGCGCTTCTTTAAAAAGTAACAAAACCCACCTAAAACAGAAACTTAATTTGCAATTCCTGCTCACCACGCGCTCCCGCGCTTCTTTTAAAAAGTAACACGAGAAACTAACAAAAACCACGTAAAACAGAAAATTAATTTGCAATTCCTGCTCACCACGCGCTCCTTACCTTGAAATGCACACGCAGGTTAGATCCCCGTGACTTGCATGCTGCAAGGGAGAAAAAAACCCAAGTTTTAGAAACAAAACCTCAGTGGCTCCCGGGAAATCCCACACGAACCCTCCTCAAGCAGCAACTCACATTTCGTGGGGTTCTCCGGGTCCAGGGAGTAGCGCACCATCTTGAGATCTCAGCTGAAAAACACCAATTAAAACACATTAGACTTCCAACACTGGCACGCAGGACCTGGAATACCCCCCCTTACCGCCGCAGCTGCTCAGAAATTACGCGTTCTTTTCACAGTTACATCCAAAGGTGTCCTAAGAAAGTCATCATCGCAGCCGTGGGTTCTCCTCAGGCCTGCCCCTTGCCCCCCTCAACCCCGTGCGCCATCCCGGGGAATACCGCGGGCGCGGGGCATGTCGCAGCGATCCCGGTGTCCGGGACGCCGGTGCCGGCGGGGATGGGGCGGGATGGGGGCGGATGGCGGCGGATGGCGGGGAGCGGCCCGACCATGGCTCCTCACCTCGGGGCGGCGGCCGCAGAGGAAGAGGAAGGGCGGGGCGCGCCGACAGCGCGCGCGCCTCTCGCGAGATTTCCGCCGGGGGGGGCGGTCCCGGGGCCGGGCGCTCCGCCCCCAAGATGGCGGCGGGTCTCGCCGTGAGGGCGGTGGGAGCGCGGAGCGGGTCCCTCGCTGAGCCTGTGGATAAAACCCGCTGTGGGGAAACACACCGCGGTGTTCACGCTGCCGTGGGGAAACGCACCGCGGCATGCACCCTCAGCTCATGGTGCAGGTGTTTTTAGTGAGGAAATGAGCGTGCATCTGGCACGGCAGCACCGCCCGCCCGAGGGAGGGGATTGCCCCGCGCTGATCACCTTGAACGCTGTGAGCGGTGTTGGTCACTGCAGTATAAGAAAGATATTAAGCTGTTAGTGCCAAAAGGATGGCTATAGAAGTGGTGAAGGGCCTTGAGGGGAAGCTGTGTGAGGGGCGGCCGAGGCACCTGGTCTGCTGAGTTGGAGGGAGGCGAGATTTATCGCAGTTAAAACTTCCCCGTGAGGGAAGAGGAAGGTCAGGCATTGATCTCTTCTCTCTGGTGACTGGGGACAGGACCCAGGGCACGGCTGGAGCTGTGCCAGGGAGGTTTAGGTTGGATATCAGGGCAAGGCTCTTCCCCAGAGGGTGCTGGCACTGCCCAGGCTCCCCAGGGAATGGGCACAGCCCCGAGGCTGCCAGAGCTCCAGGAGCCTCTGGACACCCTGCCAGGGATGCCCAGGGTGGGAATGTTGGGCTGTCTGTGCAGGGCCAGGGGCTGGGCTCTGCCAGAGCTCCAGGAGCCTCTGGACACCCTGCCAGGGATGCCCAGGGACCCCACGGTCCCTGTGGGTACTTTCCCGCTCTGTGGTTCACTCAGTCAGGATCATTCAGGTTGGAAAAGACTTCTGAGATCATCGAGTCCCAGCTGTGCCCGATCCCCACCGTGTCAGCAGCCCAGAGCTCTCAGTGCCACATCCAAGCGTTCCTTGGACACCTCCAGGGATGGCAACTGAAACAGCTCCCTGGGCAGCCCTTTCCAAGTCCTTTCCATGAAGAAATTCAACCGGAACCTCCCCTGGCATAACCTGAGGCCGTTTCCTCTTGTCCTGTCCTTGTTCTCAGGAAGCAGAACCCGGCCCCCACCTGAGAGCACAGAGTTGTTACGTGTGGAAAAGGCCTTTAAGATAACCGGGTCTAACTCTCATCCCAGCAGCCGTGTTCACCATTAGGTGGCAGCTCAGGATGGGAATAAAGCAGCACATTGCTCACAGCGGTGTCCCGGAGACCAGAACGAAGAGATTCATTCAAATTCGTATTTATAAACCTCAACTGGTATTTACTGCACCATCATAAAATAATCACAGACTGACTCATTCAAATAAAAGATTTCTCTTTCCTATTTGAGGCAGAATTTGTGACTGGAATTGCTTGGGAAGCAGCTCAATAAAAGCAAAATGTTTCCTGAAAGTGGTGCGATGCAAGTCTCATTGAGAAAAAAATGACAGAGTGGAGGAAAAAAAAGAAGAGACGTATTCCTGAGATGGCAGTAATCTGGTGTGCAGGCACCTCCCCAGCATGAGAGTCTGGGTTTAACTCTGAGTTTAGAAATAAGCAGAAGAAGAACTTGCTGCCCATCTAAATCCTATAATCAGGAGGCTGGTTTTGGATCTCTTGTTTAGGGCTGAAAAGCCCCAAAGCTCTGCAGCTAGGATTTTTCCCAGATGGGAAGAGAAAAATATTTGAGGAAAATATAGATATCACAAATATCTACTGGGTTAAAAGCAGTAAGAGCTCTAGTTGTTACTGCCAATCTCCATTTACCTGCCTTAAAATGTGCCTTTTTCTTTGGTTTTGGAGAAGCTCTCTGCAAAGTTTCCAAGCAGCTTTCAAGCACTGATCTCAAAGCCTGAAACATGCTGGGGTGTGGGCAGATATTATTTCTTCTCTTTATTGTAGAATCACAGAATGGTTTGGAAGGAACCTTAGAGATCATCTCATCCCACCCCTGCCATGGGCAGGGACACCTTCCACCATCCCAGGGAGCTCCAAGCCCCATCCCTCCTGGCCTTGGACACTGCCAGGGATCCAGAGGCAGCCACAGCTTCTGTGGGGAACAGTATTAGTTTTCTGGTATAATAAATTAAAACTGGCTGAAGCTGAGATCCTCAAACACTCCCACAGCCTTACTCTCCATACTGTGGGAATCCCCTTTCCGAACACACCTGAATGCAACTCTCTTCTTCATCCTTCCTGCTCTTCCCTCCACACCTTCCTCAGTTTTCTGCTGGTCTTTACATGGGAAGCATCTTTGCTCACAGCTTCTTCTTGGCAGCAGTGCCAAAAGCAAGGAGATGTTCAAGGAAAGCCAGAGGAGAGGTGTGAAAAACACAAGTACTTGACACACGATGGGGATTATCACCTGTGTTCATCAATCAAACCCACAATAAATACATTTTCTGTTTCCCTGCAGGTGGAACTGTTTTGCTCAGCTTCTAAGGGTTTGCAGTGGTGGAAGGTTAGCACAGAATCATGGAATATCCCGAGCTGGAAAAGGCTTGCCAGGGTCATGGAGTCCAACTGCTGGCCCTACACAGACACCCCAAAAACCCAGCTTGTGCATCCCTGAGAGCATTGTCCAAATGCTCCTGGAGCTCTGGCAGCCTTGGGGCTGTGACCATTCCCTGAGGTGCATGTTTTCAGCTTTGCTGGGAGCTTGGCAAGAGCTCTCATGGGCAGCCTAGCACATTCCTGGTGCTGGGATCAGGGCTGAGGCAGCTGAGTTTGTGCCCTAGTTGGGATTTCACCGCATTTTTTCCCCACTGCACCACCTGCCTGGGATATTTGGGTTATATGAGCTACCTCCAAGAGAACTTCCAGGTCCTAAGCAAAAAATTCAGGCTAAGTCCAAAACTGTTATTGAAAACTACTGCATCAGAAGCAACTGCCTGCTAATTGTACTGGAACCTCAAATCCACAAATCCACAGGACTTTCCCTCAGCCTGTGCTGCTCTCTCAGCCTCTCTTGCCCCCCTGTCTGTAGTGCCCAGCCCCAGTGCCTGTGCTGTGCACACCAAGGGAGACATTTCTGTCCCAGCAGGTATGGACAACAAGCACCCAGCTGTGCCTGGACCCCAGCAGAGCCTCTGCCTTGTGCTCTGGGGGCTCCTGCTGGGAATATCCTCCTGTGAAGGGTGGATCACAGTGGCAGCAGAGGCTTCTGCCCTCTGCTCTGCTCTGGAGCCAGGCTGGGAGAGCTGGAGGTGCACACCTGCACAAGAGAAGGCTCCAAGCAAAGCCATCTAAAGGGGCTCCAGGAGAGCTGGAGAGGGACAAGGGCTGCAGGGACAGGACACAGGGAAGGGCTTCCACCACCCAGAGGGCTGGGATAGATGGGAAGGAATTCTTGGCTGTGAGGCTTGGGAGGCCCTGGCACAGGTTTCCCAGAGAAGCACAGGTTGTCTTCCCCAACACTGGCAGTGTCCAAGGCCAGGTTGGATGGGGCTTGGAGCAGCCTGGGACAGTTGAAGGTGTCCCTGCCCATGGCAGGGGTGAAGCTGGATGAACTTTTAGTCCCTTCCAACCCAAACCATTCATTGGTGCCATGATTCTGTGCTCCTGAGGCTGGATTGGGGCTGTATCTCTTATCCTGCCTTGGAAAGGCCCAGCAGGCAGTGGGGAGTGTTCAGGTACTGGAGTGTTGCCTCACTTAAGTCCTTTTGTGTCTTTAGTTGTGAGTAAGCAAGCTTCCTTATCAGTGCTACTGGGAGCCAAAAGTGACAATTAGCCAATGTCCCTGACAGTCATCATCCCTCCTGACCAGAGGGACAGGTGAGCTCCAAGACTGGCTGGAGTTATGTTTTCACTGTCTGGGGTTATGTCTTTGTGGCAGCTCTAAACCACAGAGTTAATTTCCAGCCAGGGCACCTTCCTGCTCACCTTCCAGCCTGTCACTCAGCTCCAGCACACACCTGGCTTGGGGTGGTCACTTCTAACAGAGGGGCTGTGCTAAACCCCTGTAGCACACAGAAACACTGGGGCTGACTGACCAAGCTTATCTCTGGCTCGCTAAAACACACTCTGTATCTGCTCTTCTGCAGGAGAGGGCCTGACCTGCTCTTTGCACAGGAATGGAAGCCAATTCCTCAAATCTTTTTGTAGATATCTTGGCATTTCTTTTAGAGACCCAGCTTTTGGAGTCCAAGGGTTACATGGGGATATTAAACTGTCATTCATGAAATTACACACAAATGGTTCCTTGTCCTAATGTTTAAGCAGAAAATCTTGAAGACAAAGACATTTTAAATTGAAACCAGCTTGAATGCTGCAAACACTGAGGATTTTCAACCATCAGACAGCCGGCTGCATTTCCTTCTCTGAAATCCTCTCTACTGACCAGCCTACAGTCTCCTGCCCTCCTGGTCCCAGATGCATGGCTTCTCCAGAGGCACAGCTCACCCCCACTGTTTGCCTTTTCCTCCCACAGGCAGCAGAACAGCGGCACTTGGACACGTGGTAGGCAAATTCTCCAGCTAAAGGGCCCTCCATGAACATCCTAAAATCTAGTGACCCAGTCAATGACCCTGCAAAATCACAGAATCACAGAATCATGGAATGGTTTGGGTTGCAAGGGACTTGACAGATCATCCATTCCACCCCCTGCCATGGGCAGGGACACCTTCCACTGTCCCAGGCTGCTCCAAGCCCCATCCAGCCTGGCCTTGGGCACTGCCAGGGATCCAGGGGCAGCCACAGCTGCTCTGGGCACCCTGGGCCAAGGCCTGCCCACCCTCCCAGCCAGCAATTCCTGCCCAACATCCCAAAATCTGTGCCTGCCCTCTGGCAGTGGAAGCCATTCCCTCTGTCCTGTCCCTCCGTGGAAAAGGGGCAAACGCACCTCCAAAAGATGGACTGACTTTCATCAGAGATTTGCTCTGCATCACTAATTCTGTCTTGGTCACTTGGAGAGTTCAATTATGTTATG